CCCTTATTTTGCAGAAGAGGGGAGACCTGTCAATTAACTCCGTGTGAACACACACCCACACCTACCCAAGCAGATGCCTAATCCAGGGATTCTCATTTAGGGCTTTGTGATATTCTGGGGGCTTCTGTTATGTCAAAGATGTTACCAAATCGTCAAAACAATATTAATTCTAGCATGCTTCAGTCACGAAAAGAACTACACATATACCCGAATTCTAAAGGGAGGGAAGGAAAGAGGAGTGTGAACACCCCACAAAGCACCCCTGAGTGTTGCCACTAGGGGAGACTTTAGGGACCCATTCGCGAAGGGCCTCCCACTCCTCATCTCCACCCATTAGGCCCCCAAGTTCAGGATTTCTTCCTGCTCTTTACCTGGAGATCCCATTCCTCCTCTTCCTGGAACACTATGCGAATCCCAACTCAAGTCTTCTCCATCCACCCTCTACACATTGAAAGCTGCAGTTTACTTAAAAATGAAGGATCTTGGCTGGGCGCGGTGGCTCATGCCTATAATCCCAGCACTTTGGGAGGCCGAGGTGAGAGGACTGCCTGAGCCTGTGGGTTCGAGACCAGCCTGAGCAACTTGGCGAGACCTCATCACTACAATTAAAAAAAAAATTAGCCGGACTCGGTGGCTCAGCCTGTAATCCCGCGCCTTTGGGAGGCTGAGGTGAATGGATTGCCTGAGACTGCGGGTTCGAGACTTGCCTGGGCAGCGAGACCTCATCTCTACAATAAATCAAAAATCAGCCAGGCGTGGTAGCGCATGCCTGTAATTCTGGCTACTCGGAAGGTTGAGGCGGAAGGATCGCCGGAGCCCAGCAGGTCGAGACTGCGGTGGCCGGGAGCGGCCACTGCACTCCAGTCTGGACGACAGAGCGAGACTCCAACTCAAAAAAAAAAAAAAAATTAGCCAAGCATGGTGACATGTGCCTGTAGTTCCAGGTACTTGGAAGGCTGAGGTGGAAGGATAGCCTGAGCCCAGCAGGTTGAGGCTGTGGTGGTCAGGAGAGTGTCACTGCCCTCTAGCCTGGGTGACAGAGTGAGAATCCAACTCAAAAGAAAGAAAGCAGGATCTCTAGTTACTTGCATTTTATTTCTACATTTTTTCAGCTGTTTTTATAAAATGCCTGACCTCAGAGAGTTGAGCAGATAGTTTCCTTTCCCTGTATGCCAGCTGACGCCTAGGTAGGCTTGTTGGGCAAAACCCCCGCTTGACATGAAAAGTCACCCAGTACTCTTTTCGCCTGATTTCCTAGTTCTGGATGATTTTTCTAAACACTTCCAAATTGTGAGAAAACTCATCTGTTCAGTCATGACTGCCTACACCTCTTCCATTAGTTTAAGTCCAGGGCATTCTGCCATGATGGTGGCCATGGAGACCTTTGATCACAATCAATGACAGATAAGTAAATTGAGGCCTCTTTGTAAACAAGGACCTGTTCGAGGCCACGTTTACTGAGTGGCACAACAAGGATGGGAACCTAGGACCTTGGCTCCTTGTCCTTTGTGTTCTGTCAACTGCACATATTGGGTTCACAGTGACATGTTTTTTTCCCACCTTCTTGCAGAAACTCAACATTGTCGTGGACACCGGCTATGGATCTAACTAATAGAGTTTCCATCTCCACTTACTACCTGGGTGACCTCCCTAAGCCTTAAGTTTCTCTCTGAAAAATGGGGATAATTTTCTTACTTCTCAGGTGATTGTGAGGATGAATGAGATAACGCAAATAAAGCCCAAGGCTTGACATACAGTAGGCACTGGAGAAATGATAGTGGCACGTGGATATGGGTTGCATGCATTGGGTGGAATTCGACTGTTAAACCCAGCAATGCAACCTCACCAGAGTCCATCTCACTGCCCACATCCTCTGTGGGACCCTAGACTCCAGGACACAGCAAGGATGTGAGACAGACCCCTCAGCCTGGAACCACCTGTCACCCCTTGGCCTAGAAGGGGATTTCCAAGTGAGGAAGCTGGCCTGACGCTGGGAGCTGAGTGACTCAGGCAGGTGGCAGCCTCTTGTTCTTCCACAGAGTGATGACAAGAACCCACTAAAAGCCCCACCTAGAAGGAGAATCAAACTGCTTGTGTTTTGTTAGATTTTGCTTTGTTTCAAAGCTCACAACTCAGTCTCCTTTCTGCTACTGTCTCCTCTACCACCTCCATAATGGCGACTCTAAAGTCAGACCCAAATACACGTTTGAAGGAAATTAAAAACATACCAGAAAATCCATCTATCACAGATTTAGCCCTAAACCAAGCATGAGAAGAAAGGTGGAGGCTGCATAATCAAAGCATAAACGGTAACAGTCATAGAGTATTTGCTGCGTGCTAGGTCCACATCCTGACATAATTTCTCTCCCAGTCAGGCAATGAGGTCACTACCATTAGCATCCCCATTTCACAGATGAAACTGGGCTTTGAGGTGCTCGATGACCTGCCCAAGGTCTTCCAGAGCAGCAGGTAACCAGAGCATGAAGACCCAGGAACTCTTAAGACTCTTCACACTCTTAAGCATCGTGCTGCCAAGTCCCGCCAGCTAGAAAGACACAGAACTCCGAGTGTTAGTCTCGAAAGCGCCTAAGAAATGATCAAACCCAGCCTGACCTTGTGGACTGGAGCCATACCAAACAAGGACAGGGAAAGGTCTGACATGGAATTTGTGATTAATGCCCGGAACTAGAAACCAAGTCTCCTGCTCTGACACAGGGCTCTTTCTTTCCACGTACCCCACTGACGGGAACTAGAGCCTCTAACTCAAACAGGCACGTGCCTCATTCCACAGGAGAATGAGCACATCGGGGCCCTGGCCAGGGTGAATGAACTCAGTGCGAGCAGCTAATGAACTAGGAAAATGCAGTCCTGGGTGTCTTATTTTGCCCTAGAGCCTGCGGCAATCTCAGGAAACTGACACCTCCCAGTGGATTCTGGGTGCTTTTTGGGGTTGGGGTGTGTGTGTGTATTAGAGAGAGACTTTGATGATAGTTAAATGAGATAGTGCTTTTTAAGCATGTGATATTGACTGCACTTGTACCAGGCAACCATGGCAATTTTTAAAGTAAATAAATGAGTAGAATCTGGCCCCAACTTCCCTTCCTCAGCCTAAGAAGGCATTTTTCTTTCTCTCAATCTACTTCCCAGATAACTGCATGAGGGGATGGTAAAATAGTCGTAACTTTTTACATTCCTTTGGCACCTGAAGGTGAATGAAACCATTTCTTACTCACAACTTGCCTGTTTTCTAAGAGCCGCATTGTGCAAGGGTTAAGGTGTGGGCTCTGGACTCTGGGCTTGAGTCACAGCCCTGCCCCCATACAGCTCTGTGCCTCAGTTTCCTTATCAGCGCCATGAAGACTATAACAGTGCCCAATTCACAGGGTGGTGAGAATGATGACACAGCGCTTGGCCTCAATGAAATGTTGCAATGACCATCATGGTCACTATGCTGTGATGCAGCAGGCATTGTTTATGTCCTTTTCCCAGGAGGTCCCCAGGGCCAGAGCCAGGGAGCAGACTGGAAATGTTGCAATGACCATCATGGTCACTATGCTGTGATGCAGCAGGCATTGTTTATGTCCTTTTCCCAGGAGGTCCCCAGGGCCAGAACCAGGGAGCAGACTGCCCGAGACAGTGTCCTCCGAGGAGCCGCCTAGCAGGCATGGCTGCTGACTTTTTGTCCGGCCTCTTTCCTGTTTTCTTCCTTCCCCATCCCAGCTGTTCTTCTGGTGGCCTCAGGCCTGCCTGCTACTCTTCAGTTTCTGGGGTGCCACTGGAGAAGAAAGGGCAAAGTGACACAGGGGGAGATTCCCAGCCTTGCCAGGGAATCTCTCAGGAACCCTGGGCCCCTCATTCCAGCTCCTCTCCCTCTGGCCTCTCTGCCTCCAGGCCGGGCTGACCAGCTGGATCTGGGCCTGCATCCAGCCTTGTTTTTTGTTTTTTGTCATCCTCCTAGGAGTGGGAAGAGGCCAGTCAGGCCCAGCCCAGCCTCTCAGGGAGGCAGCCCCGCAAGCAAGCCAGAGCATTTCCCAATCCCGGGAAGCCCTGCCAGGGCGGAGAGCAGTCCTCTTCTGTCCCACCCACCTCCCTCCATGCCCTCCCCAACATCCCTTCTTCTGGCTGCTCCCCAAGCTCCTTTCATTCCTCTGCAGCCCAGAAGCCACTGTCAGACTTGGCCTCCACGCCTTGCCTCGCCTAGCCAGGGACTTCCCTGGGCTGGCCTCTGACCAGCTGTGGAAAATCTGGACTGTTTGTGATCAAAGAGAAGGCTGTATCACCACCATCTGCCTGCCCTTGGCCCCTCCCAGGGCCTCAGGCTCTGCCTCAGGCTCTCTGGTGAAGGTTCGACCACAGGAAGGTCCAGCCTCCCTGGGAGCAAAGCAAGCTAGAAGGAAGAGACGTTCTTTTTCTCCAGGGTCAAGGGGGGTTGACTCCTGGTCTCTTCCGATCCAGCTGTAGACACTAAAGTGCCCAACAGGGACCTGCACCCTCACCCTCAAAAATTCACACTCACACACAGGCACAGACCCAGACAATACACACAGACACACAAACACGGTCGCAAACTTATACTCATGCAGACATACACACATAACACCGCGTGGATCTGACACAGGCACATTACGCAGACCCAGTTCACATTTGCACATCTGTTTCTTGAGAAAATAGGCCTTTTTTTTCTCTCCCTTTGGAAAAGCTAGCAGCAACTGGAGAGAGAGCCTGTCTGGGAAGGCAGGGCCAGAGGAGGAGGGCAGGAAGAGGAAATGAGGGTTGGGGGCAGAAGAAGAGGAGAGCGGAGGCCAGGCGAGGAGCAGGGACCCAGAGCCCAAGACCTGCGAGGGGAAGAGAGCTGTTCTGGGGAGCGATAGTCCCCGTGGGCAAGAGCGGAAGGCCAGTTGGTTCTTGGCACAGAGCCTGGAGGATCTGATGGCCCCGGCCTCCTTGTGCAGGGGACTCTGTCCTGTGCCCTGGCCGCCCGTCCCCGTCTGGTCACTCACCTGGAGAAGGGCAGGAAAGTACGGGGTGTGTGCGGCGGGGGCTGCTGTCCTGCGAAGGCTCCTAGGCTCACTGTGCTTCTGCAGGAAGGAGGGCTGGGCTGGGCTGCCTCTTAGGCAGGAGGGGAATTCCCCGAGATGAGGAGCCAGCCGCCAGGCAGCCCCACAGCCTCAGCTGAGGCCCCATCCTGCCCCCAGACAGAGCACAGGGCTCTTTGTCAGCTTCACCTGTCACTTCCCAGACTGCCTATCCCTTGCTGTGAATTCCAAAGAGGAGAGGGGCTCTGGGGAGGAGCTGGATGCCTGATGGGTCCTCAGCTAGACTGGAAACAGGCGTCGGGCAGGGGCTATCTGGCTCGACCCGCCTGGGTTCCCCTGAGGACCTCTGTTTCCTCCTTTGCCTAAGGTAGGGGATTCCAGAGCTCAGTGCCTGAGGAAGTCCACATCCTCCTGGCCCCTTCCATTCTGTCTGCTTCCACTTAGCCTCTGTGGAGTCTTCATGGGAAAGGAGGGGCCACTCCTTCCCTGGCGCTCCTGGGTCTCATTCAGATGTTAGTGGGGGCTTAGAGACTGACAGTCTGAGGAGCTTTGTCCTAATCAGCTGGAGATCCTGAGCATATCACCTCCTCATCCTGAGCCTCAGTGATCCCTGCTGTAAGATGGGGATAATGAGTCCTGCTTTGCCGGAGTCACGCGATGGTAATTAAAACAAAATGATGGTTTGCAGACAGCCTTTGTAAACTGCTAACTATTGTACAAACTGGGTTCTCTGTTCACTATGTGCCGAAACAATGCTTGGAGTGAGGATGAAGGGGCTATCTGGACGAGGTAGCCTTTCTTTTTTTTTTTTGAGTTGGAGTCTCACTCTGTCACCCAGACGAGTGCAGTGGCGGCTCCCGGCCACCACAACCTCTACCTGCTGGGCTCCGGCAATCCTTCCACCTCAGCCTTCTGAGTAGCTGGAATTACAGGCGCACGCTACCTCACCCGGCTGATTTTTGATTTATTATAGAGATGAGGTCTCACCAAGTTGCCCAGGCGGGTCTCGAACCCGCGGGCTCAGGCAATCCATTCACCTCAGCCTCCCAAGGAGGTAGCCTTGCTTGATCATTCCTCTGGCTCCAGAGCTTCTTCATTCTGTTTTTTGTTTGTTTGTTTTTTTGGTGGAGGGGAGGGGGATATTTTTCATTTTTCATAAAGTTGGGATCTTGCTATGTTACCCAGGCTGATCTCGAACCCCTGGTCCAAGTGATCCTCCCACATTGGCCTCCTAGAAGGCTGGGATTACAGGTACGAGCCACCATCCCCAGCCTCAGAGTTTCTTCATTTTTTTTTTTTTTTTTGAGTGGGAGTCTCACTCTGTCACCCAGACTGGAGTGCAGTGGCCGCTCCCGGCCACCGCAGCCTTGACCTGCTGAGCTCCGGCGATCCTTCCACCTCAGCCTTCCAAGTAGCTGGAATTACAGGCATGCGCTACCATGCCTGGCTTGATTTTTTTTGATTTATTGTAGAGATGAGATCTCGCTGCCGAGGCGGGTCTCGAACCCGCAGGCTCAGGCAATCCATTCACTTCAGCCTCCCAAAGGCGCAGGATTATAGGCTAAGTCACCGAGCCCGGCGTTTCTTCATTCTTACAGTAAGGTTTATAGACCAGTGAGGACACAAGAATGGACAGGTCAGACCCGCTGCTTGCCCTCTCAGAGCTCACAGACTCGGAGGAACCACACGTGGCCATTGACATATTAATTAATGAAAATGAAATAGAATTTGCAGCTCAGTTCCTCAGCAGCACCCACCCCATCTCAAGTGCTCAATGCCCACACATGGCTACCACCTTGGCCTACCCATGCACAGCATCTCTATTGGCACAGACAGTTCCGCTGGGTGGCACTGCTCTGGGGTCACTGTGAAGATGAGCAGGTAACGGCAGCAAGTGTGGTGGAAGTGTGTTTGGCAGGAGACATGTGAAGGGGGACGGGAGTCTGGACAAGGGAGTGTCCAGTCAGGATATGGGAGTCTGGGCAGTCTTCCTGAAAGCGACATCTACGCTGAGACCTTGAAGTAGCCAAACGAGAGCATAAGGACGGATGTTCTCAGCAAAGGGAATAGAGCATAGCAAGAGAAGAGAGAATATAATCAGGGAACTGGACCCTGTCGGAATCTGAGTGGCATGTGGGACTTGGAGCAGATGATGGAAAGGTGACGAGGGACCTGGAGAAACATGCAGGTCCAAGTCACAGTGGGCCACAGGCAGTGCTGGGGGGAGAACAGGGAACAAGAAGCTGGGATGGGGAGAGTCCACAGAACCCAGTCCTCAGCTGCTCCTGGCCTTCCAGGTTGGGCTTACATGGGGAGTGTAGGAAGACCTACTCGACCAGTGACCTCACTTCACAGAGGAGGAAGTGGAGCCCAGACATGGGAAGTGACTTTCCTTCCCACACTCAGTTCCTTAGGACTCCATTACTTTTCAGGGGCTTGGTGGCCAGCAGTGACCATACTGGACTGCACAGATGTTTCCGTCATTACAGGAAAAGCAATGGGACACATGGCACCAACCATAGAGCTAGGCCAGGGGCAAAAGGATGACACATCTCCCTGTCATAGACCCTGTCCCCTGCAGAGAATGAAGATGCGTCATTCAGCACTGATGTCCCCACCTTGTGCTAGTCTCTGCACATGTTTTTGTTTTTGTTTTTGCTCTAAAGTCCATGATGATCCTAGATTTCCTCTGAGTTCACAGTGTCTGGCTTGGATCAGCTCCTATCCAAGAAGTCTTAAATAGCAGAGGAACCCTGAAGAACTAAGGGTTCAAGGAGCTGGATTGACACGAGCTGAGGCCCCTACATGGGAACACGTGGCTTGCATGTCCTTCAGGAGGGTTGGCTCTGAGCGATCTCTGCCATAATGCAGAGGGCAATCTGCTTCTTGCACCTTCTCTCCCACCCCTTCCCGTGGAGTCCCTGAAGTCACTTTCCCTGTTCAGGCTGGTGGCAGACACAAAGGAAGACTCTTCAGCAGAACTGATTTTGGGTCCTGGCTCTGCCATGGGGCCCTGGGCTTGTCTCTCCCGTTCTCTGGCCCTCAGCTTCTGTAATGGAAGGGAGTGAGACTAGGTGCTCACGAAGAGACCTTCCACGCAGATACTGTAGGGAAGTCCAAGAGTTCAGAGGAAGGAGAACTCAGGGCGGATAAAGGTGGTGAGAAAATTGTTAAGCTTATCATGTACCAGGCACAGGACTCAATGTTCTCAAGTGAATTATGTCATGCACGCCTCATCAGAATCCTACGAGACTGGTCCTATCTTTCAACAAATGAGGACACTGAGGCTCCTAGTGATTTAAGCCAACTGATAATTTTTTTTTTTTTTTTGAGTTGGAGTCTCACTCTGTCGCCCAGACTGGAGTGCAGTGGCCGCTCCCGGCCACCACAGCCTCCACCTGCCCGGCTCCGGCGATCCTTCCGCCTCAGCCTTCCGAGTAGCCGGAATTACAGGCATGCGCTACCACGCCCAGCTGATTTTTTGATTTACTGTAGAGATGAGGTCTTTTCTGCCCAGGCGGGTCTCGA